GGAGCTGGAGCACAGGCCATGGAGGAATGCTGCTTACTGGCTTGCTCCCCTGATCCCTGCTCAGCCTGCTTTCTTATGCAACACAGACCCACCTGCCCAGGGGTGGCACCACCCACAGTAGGCTGATCCCTCCCACATCACTCATCAAGAAGATGCCCTTCAGACATGGCCACAAGCCAGTCCAATAGAGGCAATTCCCCGATTGAGGCTCCCTCAACCCAGGTGTGTGAAGTTGACACTAAAGCTATCCAGCACACTCACGTCTAGGAATTTGGTACTAAGGTCCACAAATGACAGAGAACATAGGTCATTTGTTTTTCTAAGTCTGTGTTACTTCACTAAGTATGACAGTTTCTAGTTCCATCCATTTACCTGTAAATTTCATGATTTTGTTTTTCTTTACCACTGAGTAGAACTCCATTGTGTAAATGTACCACATTTTCGTTATCCATATATCAGTTGAGGGACATTTAGGTTGTTTTCGTTTCTTAGCTATTGTAAAAAAAGCAGCAACAAACATGGCTGAGCAAGTATCTCTGTAGTGGGATGGGTCCATTGGGTATATACCAGGAGTGGTATGACTGGTTCATTTACTTTTAGGTTTTTTTTTTTCTTTGAAGAATTTTTTTTTTTAATTTAATAACCAGCTGGGTGTGGTGGTGCATGTCTTTAATCCCAGCACTTGGGAGGCAGAGGCAGGTGGATCTCTGTGAGTTCAAGGCCAGCCTGGTCTACATAGTGAGTTCCAGGACAGCTGGGGCTACAGGGAGACCCTGTCTCAAAAAGACCAAAATAAATAAATAAATAACCACATGATTAGAAGAAGCATTTCATTATAGCTTTAACATATTCAGTAACACACTCCAGAGCAAGAATACATTTCTTTCAAGAGTGGCTATAAATTTTTAGGTTCATAGTTGAATTAATACATTTATACATCATTGAATTCAGTATAGGCCCTGTAAGATATAAAATTGAGTGAGTTTTTACCCTTTAAAGAAGATCTCCACTTCAAGATATGCTGTTTCCTACATTTTTTAATATTATTATGTTTTTTTTAGAAGAAGCATATCATTTAGTTTTTAAGGAGATCTCTGTACTGGTTTCCATGGTGGTTGCACCAGTATGCAATCCCACCAACAGTGGATGAGAGTTCCCCTTTTCCCGAATCCATGCCAGCATTTGGTATCATTTGTTCTCTTAATCTTAGCTATTCTGATTAGGGTTAGATGAAATCTTAAAGTAGTTTTGATTTGTGTTTTCCTAATTGCTAAGGATGTTGCACACCTTTTAAGGTATTTCTTAGCCATTGTTATTCTCTTGAGAGTTCTGTGTTCAGAACTTTCAAACCTCTGCGTCCCAAGGCTCAGGGATCACTGTGGAAGAGGAGGCAGAAAGATCGTAAGATTCAGAAAGGGTAGATGATCATGAGTAAACAGAGTCTTCTACAAAGCTGGTCAGTTACACATGTGAACTCACAGCAACTGTGACAGCATGCACAAGTCCTATGCAAGTTCAAACCAGACAAATTCCCAGCATAGACATGGGGAAGTGGTAAGCCAACCCAACCTAAGGAACTTTTGGCAATTGATGTCTTCTAGGAGGGGGAAGACAGAGTTTTATAGGGATGGGACTCTTTGTGGGCCCAGTGGATAGATTCATACCGAAGGACATTTCGGGGGGACACAAATCATTCTCTATAGGCCATATTATATATGTATAATAGGCATATATATGATTACATTAAATTGGGTAAGGGGAATTGGGGAAGGTGCAGATAGGGGAGGGGATCTAAGTACTATCAAACTATATTGTATGAAAATTGCAAAAGCTCTAGAAAAATAAAATCTAAAAATTAAAAAAATAAAGCCATTCTTATCAAAGTGTTGTGTTCTCATTTAATTTTAGTCTAAGATAAAATATTGTAAATCCATGTTCTGGCTGATGAAAAGTTATTCATACCTTGAAATGAATTCTGATAAATTTATGAGAGGCTAAATTTTGTTAAAAAGGTAAAAAATAGGTCTAAAAGTTAAAGTTTACTCCCAAACTACAACTCAAAAAGATTTTTCAAAAGATGGATTATGGTAAGCTTACTTTATCCATTCCCATGACAGGAAAATTTATTAGAAATATTACAAATGCCCCAAGTGCTCAGATTAGCATCCCTTATAAATCCATGGAAAATTTATCTATAGTTTATCTTGAAAAACTTCGTGTATCTACAGTAAATCCCTCAGGTCTCCTCTAATCACAAACAGAAAGAAAAAGAAATAATAATTCAGCAAGATTCTAAGGTTAATAAAGCAGATGCATATTCCTGAAAGGGCAACGGCTGCCAGGCAATGGTCTGTGAACAGATTCTTCTCTCTATATTCCAGAAGGTGCCAAGATTTGTCTCAAGACAAGCTACACCTAATTGTTGGCAATGGTCTAGGGGAAAAAAGCAGCACAACTCGGGCTGCTAGTAGCGACAATTACCCAAACACCAAAAACTGTTCTAAAACAAAAATCCCCAGAGGACAGACCACTCCTTACGAAGGAAAGAATGAATAAAGAAATGTGCCTGGCAAAGTGCAGGAACGCTTTAGGGACTGGAAGAGTGAACGTCACTATCTGTCCAGCACAAGGAGACCTCAAAAATAGAGGACATGCATCAAGAAAACAGGGGTCAGAGGACAGTAAGAGAGACAAGAGGAAGAGGAACAAAGAGCAGACGTGTGCAAAGCGAACACGGCGCTCCCTGATACCTGAGAATGAACCACATCGACAGAAATGGTTTTAACATTAGTAGCCAGCTTTCATTACCTGACAGGCAGATATAAGTTAAATATTCGCCTTGACCCCCAGTTGCCAAGAAAGGAATCTTTTTCTTCGTCCTCCTCTTGACTTGGACAGCTCCCAGCATTCTCTCATCAAGAGGTGCAAAAATTTCCTTGCTGATGGCAGATTTGGCACTCATCGTAGAACAAGTGAGGAGGACACGCGGTAAAGTTTCTGAAGAAAAAGAAAACGAAAGTTGGAACTGGCAAGACGGTAGGGCTCAGAGAACTACAGCAAGCTGATTTGCAGGTGAAGCAACATTCAGTTTGCTTTTATTCAATTAATGTTTTAGTTGCGTAAGATGCATTACAGAAACATTAAAACAAGCTCTTTGGATCTGTAACTGCTTTAAAAACACAAAGAAAAAGGGAATATGTGTTTGTTACCTGAAAATGTCCAACAACGTGATCAGCACGAAATGGCATTTAGGAGATTTGCTAATCCCTTCTTCAACTGTCCCTCCCCATAATGGGCAAGCAGTATCTATCCTATCCTCCTCTGTAACAATTCACTCTTTCCACACTCCAACAATCCTTAAATTGAATCCTTTACACCCCTTCAAAATCTTCTTCAATGCTAGTATAAATCTATTTCCCTAATCCCATTCATAACGGAAATAATTATATCATCTTCTACATAATAATAAGAAAGACCATTAATTTAATCATTGCTCAGCTGCCTCTGACCAGAAAAGTAATGACCTCTCATTTATTAGTCTGTTGTGATGACCCCAGTGCTCTTCTGCATCTAGTTGCTACCATCTGGATCGTTACCAAATTCTCCATATTTTTATTCAGACGAAGTGGACACAGAATGCTAAATATGTGTGTGACTAGTGTCAAGTATTTTGGAAATTCTGCACAGCAGTTCCCACATATTAAGTTGCTAGTAGGTACCCAATAATTAAAAGAAAACAAAGCTGAACGTTGCTGACTCATACATGAGCCCCCCCATACCTCTACCACCAAACAATGGCAGGCATAGTCCCCAAGTTATATTTAGTTTTCCCAAAGCTGTACTTCCCTAATGGTCTCACTTCAGTTTTTATCTCTTATGTTCAAGGTCAATCTGAATACCAAGCCAGCCCAAGAGGAACGAGGCAAACCTTCTATGTTCCTAAACAAAAGTGCACAAAAGGAGAAAACATGAGGACCTGAGTATGACTTCCAGAACCCAGGTAAAAAAAAGGCCAGCTGTGAGACAGCTGGACCCCTGGAGCTTGATGGTCAGCCATCCTACATTCCTCAGTGAGCTCCAGGCTGATAGAGCTCAAAAAATAGGACTGTAAACAGTGGGACAGCACCTCCAGAAGGACACCCAAGGGTGACCTCTGGAACCACAAACCCCCCTACACACATACATGTGCACCTGCAGATACACAAACATGAACACACAAATTAGGATTAAAAGTGCAGAGAGAGTCTTTGGCCTAGTCATTCAGACTGTTTAGAGTATTCAGCTGTCTTACATACCGATTGGCAGCACAGTTATATATGGTGCCAGCAGTTCAAAGGCTTGACTGAACTGTCTGAACTTGAGCCACTTGATTAGACTTACTGCATGCTACCTTGTGTTTGGTGTTAGAGATGCAATAAAAATTAAGATATGGTCTCTGTCCCTCAAGAGTTGACAATTCATTATGGAAACATATCTGTAGATCTACATGTTATAAATACGCTGATCTCCTCATGGTCTGAAATAACAGTTTTATCATTGCTACTGGGTTCTTCAGGCTGGCTAAGAAAAGAGACAATAATGTAAAGGTGCCTGGTATTCAGCATGCTAACTATTGTGACTTCCTGTAAGTTAGTCAACAGAACTTCTCCCACTATGCATTTTCATGACTGTGCTATGATGGTATTATTATTTACTGAGAGTGAAAAAAAAAATTGGGCATGGTGATGCATGCCTTTAATCCCAACACTCAGGAGGCAGAGGCAGAGGCAGGCAGAGCTCTGTGAGTTCGAGGCCAGCTAGGTCTACATAGTGAGTTCCAGGACAGCTGGGGCTACAGGGAGACCCTGTCTCAAAAAAAAAAAAAAATTAGATAAATACATACTGGTTCTTCTATAGCTCCAAGATCTCCCACCTCTCACGCTAAGGGAAACACAGAAAAGTCAGCAGTACACAGTGGATTCCCACACTGTCAGCAAGGAAGACAGCAAGCTGCCTCCTCAGAGTCATCCAGGGATTCACTGACCAGCTCCTTCCCAACCGTGTGGCTTTACTTCATTTCAGATTCAAATTTTTCTCAAACCACAGTGAAAAGGAACAGAAAACTATCACTTCATTGTATAAAATCTGTCAGGAAAATAAAAGGCATGCATTTTTTACCAGACTCTTAGGAAATTCTATTCTTAGACAACTGGTGAGAAAAAGAACTGACCTATGTTTTATTTTTTTTTAATACCGATATTCACAAATGCAGAGGCCACAGGAAGGATATAACCAGTAACTTCGCTGGACCCAACTTTTTAAATCAAACAAGCTCAAGTTCAGTTTTTAGCTCCTGTGCAGAGCTGTGATTTGGGGGTAAATCTCAAAGTTTCTGACTCTCAGTTTACTTAGTACAGCATGGAGATATCTTACTGCTCTCTGAAAACTGAAGTTAATAGAACAATGTGTTTAGATCACTTTTTCCAGAGCCTGAATAATTTTTTAAAATTACTTAAAGGTGGAATTTTTAATAACTCTCACATTATGACATGAATAATAAAATATCTCAACTTGTGAAACTTGAATAAATGTACCCATTCACATGAGAAGGTATCTGTAAAAATGAAACTCAATTTTATTTACCAAAGCCTTACTTTTATCACAGGGATGTGAAACACTGCACATATGAACAAATGGTTTCTTCTATACTCTGAAAATTCACTAAGAGATTACTGCATTCATTCCAGGGGAAAGTTCACATGTTTTGTCCAGGACTTCTGGCTGCAGATCAGCGCATGTTTTCAATGCCATCCTGGGAACGGTAACATACAGTGGATATAAGGGAAAGAATCAGAAAAATCAGGAAAAAAAGAGGGACACTGCTATAGCCCTCTAAGTGCCTAGAATTTGGCTGTGCATCCAAATTCAGCATGTAACACTTTAAAAACATGGTAGATACGTGGGCCCTCTCTTCAGATCCACCAAAACAGAATTTGGGGATCTGTATTTTAAACAATTCTCTAACTCAATCTCAGGTTGCCAGGCAGTCATCATGTTACCAAAGTTAAAAGCCGAGAGTGGACTCAGAGAATTAAAACCTAGATTAGAAAGGTGGTGATAGAGAAAGGAAGGGTTGTTTCAGGAGCGAATCCAGGAAGATGGGATTTTATTCTTTCCCTTGATTCAAACAAGCAGCTTTATCAAGTTTTACATCTTATAGATGGTAAATCAATACTAGTCCAAGCCCAAAGGTTTGTTTTCGGGAAATGTGGCTACAATACAATAGCAATACGACGTTGCTGAGTGCTTATTATGCCAACACACACATCACTCCATGGAAGCTTACCCTGTCCTGGTCCACAGCTTCTAAAGGGTATAATTATAAAGCTTTTCTATCCAAGAAACCAGCCTACAATATGATTTGCAAGTCAAAGCTGCTGGCCGCATTAAGTGATAATTGCAGAGACAGATCTCTGAAGTTCTGAACTTCAAGGTCTTCTTCGTCTGTCTTGTTCTTATCTTAAGCCCTCTAAGATCTATAAAGATCCATTTTTGTTAGTCCATGGCTACTCTAGGGAAATGGCTCTCCAATAAGAATGCCCTTCAGGGTAGGAGTTAGAAACTCACATGATCTCAGGGACCAGACAGATGAAATACATAAGGAAGGAGGTACAAGCATAGAGGTTTTTGTATTCCAAAACTAACATTTTTTGGTTTCTGCTACAACTGACATTTGTCCTCTGTGATCACGAGACCGGGAAGAGCAGAAGGTACTAAAGCAAAACATAAACTGCCATTGGCAAAGTTTTCATGATCATGTAAGTGGTTCTAGGAGACAGAGTGCACGGACCTTAAATACTGCTCATCCGAGAAGAAACGCCAGTGTAACAGCAGCGTTTGGGCTCAAAACTATCAGATACTTGACTTAGCTGATGTCATCAACTTACCTGTTCTGATCTCATGTTTAACATGTAATTTTCTGATCATGTCTTAGTACAAGCTGTGTCAACACAAGTATGTGTTGTACCCACTAAGCACTTCATTATAAATGAGTATCAAGAGTTCCTGGTTTTAAGAACCAGGTGGTTAAGTGATTCAGCTTTGAGGCAGATGCACTCATCGTGGTGATATCAATGTTAGAGTCCTCAAAATGATGTCACACTGGCAGATGCTGGAGAGAAAACCAGCTGATCTTCCCTGGTGCATGAAAACTCCAGGGAGGTATAATCAAATAATTTAGCAATAAGATTAATTTCTAAAATTGGATTTCTCTGTATTGCTACTTTTTGACATTCTACAAGTGCAACTTCAGTTTCCAAAAATAATCTGATGAGACTGTTATGACTGGGATCTTAAGTTTCCCCTAAAGGACTGGCTGCCGGCCCATGCTGCTATCGGAGGCGGTACAGCCATGGAAGGGGCCTGGAGGGGAGGAAGTGAGACCATAGGGAGGCATGCTCCTGAAGGGGACATAAGACCCTACTCCTCCTTCTCTCTCTTTTTGCTTCCTGGATCCACGATGCAAGTTCCTGGTCCAGGAGGCAAGCAGCTTGGCTCTGCCATGCGCTCCTCCCCATAGTGTTCTGCCCTGCCATGAGTCTCCTGACCATGAGCTGAATGAAGTCTCTGAAGCTGTAAACCAAACTAAACGTTCCCTCCTATTAAGTTACCTTTTCTTGGGTACTTTGTCACCATGATGAACAACTGGCTACCATGGAGATGGATTCACCACGTATCCAGCTCAGATCGCCTCTCCAGCTTGAAAGCCACATACCTAGTTGAAGACTAGCTAACCCAGTGTCTTTCTTGTCCCTCAGTCTTTCCAATTCCCTGTAATAACCAGCCAATCACCAAATGTTGTGGATTTCATTTAATATTTCTGGATTCCATCAGTTTTCCATCATTCTGATTCCTCAGACTGAGTTTTCACCATCTCTGGCCTGAATGATTTTGATGTGGCCTATAAAAGGGTTCCAGCTCTGCTCCAAAGTCAATGCAACCAGCCCTCTGTACCATCT